TTATTTTAGGTGCTATCAAACTGTAATTATTTTTTTTCCGCGGTAGTTTAGATATTGAAGCATGTTATCACCAGACGTTTTTGAGGACAAACGTGATCTTCGCTGACTCACGAGAACACCAGGGTGTACAACCGAGCGCATTGTATAGCGTTATCAACCGCAAGCTCAAAGTTCGTCACCAGTCACAGAGCACAAGTTATGGAACACCAGTTATAGAACACCATTCATAGAACACTAGTTATATGACACCATTCATAGAACACTATTCATAGAACACCACTACTACAGAACAACATTCACAGAACACTAGTTAAAGAACACCAGTTACAGGACACCAATTATTGAACACAATTAATAAAACACCAGTTATAGAACACCAGTTACAGGACACCAATTATTGAACACAATTAATAAAACACCAGTTATAGAACACCAGTTACAGGACACCAATTATTGAACACAATTAATAAAACACCAGTTATAGAACACCAGTTACAGGACACCAATTATTGAACACAATTAATAAAACACCAGTTATAGAACACCAGTTACAGGACACCAATTATTGAACACAATTAATAAAACACCAGTTATAGAACACCAGTTAAAGGACACCAATTATTGAACACAATTAATAAAACACCAGTTATAGAACACCAGTTTTCTCAAAACGCTAAAATTGTCTTTACTGTAAAATTCAATGTTAGAATGTGTAAGTTTGAAATTAAACTCATTGATTTGAATTTAATAGACACATTATTTCGTGGTTTTTTTTTTATACGAAGAGTTAACATTAAACTAAATCTCTAAAACTGCTCTGTTTACTCTGTGAGCAGCAGTCTCTATTACATACCAAAACACATGTAGGACGTCACAACCCTTAATTAGAGCTAGTGCTCTTTTCCCCGTAAAACGTGTCAAAGGATGAAAGTAGAACATTATCGGTTAACTGAAGGAAGTTGAACAAGCGATGTTCATTCCAGAATTGTGGTCTGATTAGTGTACACAGCAGTTGACACGGTTTTAAGACTATGTATGAGTTATCGGCCTTTCGCTATTTGCATTTCAAAGATTTATCTATACACGATAGGCCTAATTGTGTACATAGGTTGTAGAGATATAGACTATGACATTGTATTTATACACCCGCTTTATCATGTACAAAAATATCTGTCCAGCTTATATTTTATGCCATTTTTATATCAATAAAATTTTATAGTAAAATTTAAAAAAAAATGATTGTTTCAATTCATCTGGCTGTGATCGATAATTTAACTGTTTATTAATGTTGTTTAAGCCCTCCACCCCCATTTTTTATTTCTTTTTATTTACCGCACCTTCCCTTACCGCACACCCCTGCCCAGAGGCGAAGCGATGGGGGGCAGGGGAGACAGATGTCCCCGGGTGCAAGCTAGTTAGGGGCGCCAAAATGTGATTTGATATTATATTATTGGTAAAAATAATGGGTTTGAGAGTTGAAAAAAAAGAAAAAGGGGTGCTTTAAAATGGATCTTGTCCCCGGGCGCGAATCTTGTCCCCGGGCGCCAAACACCCTCGCTACGCCACTGCCCCTCCCCCCCCCCACATTCCCCCGTTATGTTTAATGGTTTTATAATACGACAAATCTACAACTGTAGCTGTCCTCCATGAGCTTAACTTCCAACATCCGGGGTCTGCCTCACATGGGGGGGGGGGGGGGGGAGGGGGCATGTGATTGAGAACCGCTGCTGTAGAGTTGGGGTTATCTACGACTTACGGATCCACCTGTCACAGAAATGAAAGCTTTTTTTTTCTTTCTTTTGGTTGGGTTGGGGGGCGGTTATTGTTGTCTATACAATCCTTCTACAGAAACCGAACGCAGCGTTGGAAATAGAAAAATCATGGGAGATAACTGATGAAATGATAATTCCAAAGGGGACTTAACGATCAAATAGAAACATGTTTTCTAAAAAGGTAAGATCTCGGGTAAAGTTATTATTCTGGAATATAATAATTGAAGGACTGCATTCAAGCTAAGTAAATGAAATGGCCAAACGAGGTATGTTGAAGCTTGAATATAAGAACCGGACAATAAGATAAGAACGTGTCGGCATAGAGCCTTCTTCAGCGCACAGAACAAATGAAAATATCACAAGGAACAGAGCACAGTAAACAACTCAAGAAATATCCTTTGCTGTTGCCGGAAGTAGGGTTACAAGAATTGAGAGAATATTAATATTGACACTGTGAAAAATAAGGTCCACAAGAAAATGGACCAGAATATGCACTCTGGATAGACACATACATATTTTTATCACTTAATAATGACCTAAAAAGGGTAAGAAACAAAGTTGATTGATTTCTATAAAGAATCGATCAAAAACTATCTCAAAACACCAAAAAACGGAGAACCCAAGTCCAAATGAATGTTAAGCTGTTTTAAGACGACGACTAGTTTTAAAGACATATAGAAATTAGATCATGCCAAATTAATCAATTAAAATAGATTTAAAAAATTAAAGATGAGTGCAACAACTTTATTACTACACTGGTTAAATCATGTGAGGGGGGAAAAAATGAAGTTTTAAAAAAAAATGTATTTTAATGTTATAAATTTGTTAATATAATTTAATTCAGCCTTGCAATTTATTTTATGTGATATGTGATACATAAAGAATATAAATTGTCACCTTTTTAAGCAAATGTTCTTAAGGAGAGGTCACTAATTAAATTGTGTGAAAAGTAAAGATACACGAACATTCTCCCCAAGAAAATGTGGTAAAATATGTGAAGAGCCTCTCGTGGTACGGGGCTTTAGCAAAGGGACATCACGCAATATTACATTTGACAAGACTGGGCGACTTGACACGTCTGGTAGAGTTCTCTGCCCCGACCACCAGGGGAGGTTACTCTGGTCGTTTGGAACGTGATAGAACTACATAATGGTGCACTGTTCTCTGCGATGACATAGTCCTGTGACCTCGTCACTTTCAGAGGATGGCACTTTTAAAAGTGAGGGGGGGGGGGATTATAACTGGTCTAAAAGTGTATAAGCCGCCCGATAATGTTTCATCTGCTTACCGGTCGTAAGTTCATGACAATTGTAATGATTTGACGACCATATTTTAGTCTAGTCATCGTAAATTACAAATTTAGGTGGAAAATAACTAGGGGCAAGTAATTCCAGAGCTGTAAGTAGGTAAAACAATTTATTCTTTATTTAAAGTGGTTTCGTCCCCTTTTCTCCTTACGGCCAGAAACGCCAAAAAAAAGAAGCTGAATATTTTAGAAGAAGAAATTGCGTTTGTAATTTTCTCAGTGAGATTTCATACCACCAATTCGAGAAGAGACTTGAATTACATTAGTGTTGGCTAACTGGCATACGCTTATATTTTGTTTCTTGTGAATTAAACTAAAACCACCGCGAGTTTTTTGCTAGATTATGAACGCTTCTTGTTTCTCCGTGAATCTTAGCTTCAAAAATCGCACGAGTCTTAGTGAAATGATACACTGAAACGAAATACAAAAAGACGTGCTTCAGAGAGTGGATCAGGTGCTGAAGTGAGTCTCAAAAGAGATCGAATATTTGTTTAGACTTGTTTAACACAGCTGGTTATTTGTTGGATTATTAATGACGTTTTGAAAGAAGTAACATGTTTATCTTATCCACTGTGAAACATACTCAGTGTAAAAAAAAAAATAATAATTCAATATCCACCTTTGTTTTCTTAATATCTTATCACAGCGGCTCTCAACCTGCGGGTCTCCACCACTTTGGGGTTCGAACGACCCTTACACAGGGGTCGCCTACGACCATAGTAAAAAAACACACATACACAGGGGTCGCCTACGACCATAGTAAAAAAAAACCACACATTTATAAAGAAGCAATCAGAATAATTTTAAGGTTGGGGATCACCACAACATGAGGAATTGTATTAAAGGGTCGCGGCATTAGGAAGATTGAGAACCACTGGCATATCATATGACATCTTTGTTTACGTTTTTTTTTCATTCCCCCCCCCCCTTTTTTTTTTATTAAAAATTTTTTTACGCTTACAAACCAGGGTATTTTATGAAGTGAATCTTTTTATTCCATTCTATGAGCATTGGATATAACACGTTCCTTGTTAGCTCACATAAGCTTTGCATTTTCTTAGAATAATTGATAGTTCAAGTGCTTGCTGCAAGTCTTTTTGGGACCGTCTTTGGTGTACTCGAGTCAGTGATTATCAAGGTGATTCATGTGAGTCACGGGAGTCAGTTGAGTCAGGTCAGTCAAGGGAGTCAGGTGAGCAAGGGTAGTCAGGTGAGCAAGGGTAGTCAGGTGAGCAAGGATAATCAGGTGGTTCAGTTGAGTCACGGGAGTCAGTTGAGTCAGGTAAGTCAAGGGAGTCAGGTGAGCAAGGGTAATCAGGTGGTTCAGGTGAGTCACGGGAGTCAGTTGCGTCAGGTGAGTTGGATGATTCCGGTGCTTCATGTGCTTCAGGTGCGTAAGTTTGTTTTTTTTGAGTCATAGGTGAGTAATGTGAGTTGGGTGAGTCATGTGAGTTGGGTGAGTCATGTGAGTTGGGTGAGTCATGTGAGTTGGGTGAGTCATGTGAGTTGGGTGAGTCATGTGAGTTGGGTGAGTCATGTGAGTTGGGTGAGTGATGTGAGTTGGGTGAGTCATGTGAGTTGGGTGGGGCATGTGAGTTGGGTGAGTCATGTGAGTTGGGTGAGTCTTGTGAGTTGGGATGAGTCATGTGAGTTGGGTGAGTCATGTGAGTTGGGTGAGTCATGTGAGTTGGGTGAGTCATGTGAGTTGGGTGAGTAAGTTGAGTCTGGTGAAAAACAAGCCTCAATTTCTTTGATACAAACCCCACCACAAACCTAAAATGCCCTCAAGTGCTTTGCTACAACAGCACCACAAACTAAAACTCCCCTGATGACCTACGCACTCTGAGGACGGACAGCCACTTTATGACGTGTTCTAAGGATAGCACAATGAGTCCGGCTCCGATACCGACTCCCGCTATTATAAATGTGCCGGACAGAGAGTAAAGGTCAAGGCCAGAGTCTCCTGTTTCCTTGGGACAAACGACGTCACTGTTTGACCACCATTTTAACCTGATGGAGCCCAGCAGCCGCTCCTTTTGCAGCTGTAGAATTCTGAAATTGAATTCGCAAATAAAAGTATAAATTTTTTATGAGGTACTAATTTATGAGGTTAACCACTAGATGGCGTAAATTACATATAATTTATATATGTTTATCCTAAAAAATTGCCCCAAAATAATCTTATTGGTAGCTTTGGCACCCATAATGAATATGCACATCATATTATAAAAGTTCTAACCATTTATCCTGATTGCATATATTTATTAACTAGGTAGATTACAGAATAAGATAGCAAATATTATAAAGAAGGCCTGCACAGCTCAAAATGTAAGGCGGGTCGTAATACTTTATGAGAAACTTGTGCGGGCCTGAAGATAACAGGAGAAGGGGGAAAGCTATATAGAAAAAAAATAATAATAAAGAATATTTTGTTACTTCCAGGGCAGCCAAGTGGGTGGTTGCGGGCCGCATGTTGTGCAGGCACGTTATAGATGAAAGAACACCAATACATTTTATGGGTTACTTCGTTACATCTTAACTTTAGTAATTACAATATAGGACTACGGCGGTTCTTACTTTAGTGATAAGGACATAGGACGGTTCTGGTTTATACAAGCCAATTATTCAACTTAATAAACAGTTATGTAAATTGTGAATGGGTTGTTAGTAAATATCCATTAATTCATAAACTCTTTTTGTTTTTTTTCACATCAGACAAACAAAACAGGATAAGAAAAATGATACACGCCAAAGTTTTCTTTAAAGCTTTCACCCAGGACGAGAACTTACGCCTCTGAGAACTTGTAGGCGTACGTCGACCTCTCCTTAAGCCCAATGGCGTACGGCCTGACACTGAACTGATCTCCAACGGCTGAGAGGAGACAGTTCTTTCCAGTGTAGTACTGGATCAGCGGGGACTCCGTGATCAGTGCGAAGTTCTCATTCAGCACCTTGTCTAGACCCACCTCCACGGAGCTGACGAGACCCGTCTCTTGGATTGTTCTCCAAATGGCTCCGTACTTGTTGCCTTGAAAAAAAAAAATAACGGAAAATTATTTATTATCCTTGAGGTCTGAAGTATTACTCACCAAGGCAGGGGTCGTAGAAACATGGTAAAAAGCCCTTTGGGATGGGGTCGTAGAAACATGGTAAAAAGCCCTTTTGGGGAAAGGTGAACATCTTTAGGGGCAATAGTGGATAAAAAAAAGACTTAAATAAAATTGTATAAAAATCACAATGAGGTAGCTGGTGTAATGGAGAAAGTTAACAAGAATTTTTAGATGTATTGTCTCGGCATCTAGCGAAACAGCACGCCTCGTCTTGTAACTATGTCTTTATTTCTACTTTTTGGAGGACGGGCTGAGGTTTTTTCCCCTGCAATGAGGGGGCGGAAAATGTCTTTGCCAACGCCGGGTGCCACTGACATTTGATATGACACTAACCCTAGATATGGGACTAACCCTACATATGGCACTCACCCTAGATATGGCACTAACCCTAGATGTGGCATTAAATCTAGATATGGGCCTTAATCTAGATATGGCACTAACTCAAGATATGGCACTAAACCTAGATATGGCACTAAACCCTAGATATGGCACTAACCCTAGATATGGCACTAACCTTTGATATGCAACTGACCCTAGATATGGCACTAACCCTAGATATGGCACTAACCCTAGATATGGCACTAACCCTAGATTTGGGATTAAATCTAGATATGGCACTTAATCTAGATATGTCACTTAATCTAGATATGGCACTAACCCTAGATATGGCACTAACCCTAGATATGGCACTGACATGACACTTACCCTACATACAGCACTGACCCTAGATACGGCACTGAACCTAGATATGGCACTGACCCTAGATACGGCACTGACCCTAGATATGGCACTGACCCTAGATATGTCACTGACCCTAGATATAGCACTGACCCTAGATATGGCACTGACCCTAGATATTCCACTGACCCTAGATATGCCACTGACCCTAGCTATGGCACTGAACCTAGCTATGGTACTGACCCTAGATATGTCACTGACCCTAGATATGGCACTGACCCTAGATATGGCACTGACCCTAGATATTCCACTGACCCTAGATATTCCACTGACCCTAGATATGCCACTTACCCTAGATATGGCACTGAACCTAGCTATGGCACTTACAATACATACCACAGTAAACCACTATGCGGCACTAATCCCCTACATACGCTTTTTGCTCGGCCTTTCCTTAACCAATTTGGAGGATTTTTATGAAATCATTTGATCGTATTTATTTATTATCTCTAATTTTTATATTTTTAATATATTGATTTCTACGATTTAATTCAAGATTTTGAATGTAAAAAGTTTTTAGTTTTCTCCCATTCTAATCTAAAAAAGGGGGGGGGGTGGGTCTGACGGTGACATAAACAGCTACCTGTACTTTCCAGGGAGTAGCTAATCAAGCTGCCCGACCAATGCGATAAGGGGAATAAAGTTTCATTAAATATAATCCAATCCAGAATGAAATTTTTCAATCATTCAAATAATACAGTTTTATCATATATTAAGAATGTGTAATCATACTTTTAAGATTGTGTTATCATACTTTAAGATTGTGTTATCTTATTTTAAGACAGCGTTATCATACTTTAAGATTGTGTTGTCATGCTCTAAGGTCATCCTTAAAATTGCAAAAGATAAATCATCGCTACAAACAAAGTCTTGCGTGTTCATTCTATGACTGGAGTCGACATATGAAAAATTGCCTAGTTGAAAGAAGAGAACAAATCGATATTTTTTTAATAACTCTTGTTTATCAGGTCACCCTTGAATGTCACGTTTACTTATTAAATCTACTTTCTAATCAACTTGAACGACATAAAAATGCATGTAAACCTAATGGGTATTCCCAGACAGCCAGGCTGTCCTGATTTCTGTCTGTTCTCTCCAGGCTCATGTTCTTCCATCGCTCATAAAAGTCTGCCTCTATTTTGGCCATACGTTTGAAGTAGTCCATCACACTAGTCTGTGTGGGGTATAAGATAGATAAGATAAGATCTTTATTTATATCCAAGTAAAAGGAAATGATTTATTTTTAATTACATTGTACATATTCATTTTCAGCGCTTTACTAAATACATTTTTTTTAACCCAGACAACATTTGCCAATTGTAAAAATTGTATCTTAAGACATCTTAAGTATTTCTCTAGCACAGAAAGCAGCCAAAAATGAATTCCATTAGTGACAATAATTGCTTGAGTAGGTATCATTTAGATTTGTTAATAGCTTTGGGGGGGGGGGGGGGAAGAGGGTTCCACGCTGGTAGATTCGTACAGACTGGGGAACAAAATAATTTTGATATCTTTCGGTACTAACTTTAAGTGAAAGAATTATTTGCCCTTATCGAACTGTCCTTAGGTGTATCATGTATCCTCTAACATATTTGTATTTACTTTTTAAGACATTCATTGGGTGGTACGAAAAAACAGTTCATGATTTATACACAAGACAAAGATCATGGTTTATACACAAGACACAGATCATGATTTATACACAAGACACAGATCATGATTTATACACAAGACACAGATCATGATTTATATACAAGACACAGATCATGATTTATACACAAGACACAGATCATGGTTTATACACAAGACACAGATCATGATTTATACACAAGACACAGATCATGGTTAATACACAAGACACAGATCATGATTGATACACAAGACGCAGATCATGATTGATACACAAGACACAGATCGTGATTTATACACAAGACACAGATCGTGATTTGTACACAAGACACAGATCATGATTTATACACAAGACACAGATCACGATTTATACACAAGACACAGATCATGATTTATACACAAGACACAGATCATGATTTATACACAAGACACAGATCATGATTTATACACAAGACACAGATCATGATTTATACACAAGAAATAAAAAATATATTGAAACGAGATACATTAAAGCTTGAATAACAAGACAAGGCAATAATTAGATGCGTGACTTAAAGTATTCCTCTGCAACGTTTCAAACGAGAAGGAAGTCAGTTCAGACGAAAACATCTGGGCACCTACCTTTACATGAAGTGCGATTTTCTATTCGTATATTGTATCAACCGTTGTTTTGAAGCGGAATGAATTTCTGTTGTCTTTTATTTAGTGTAAATAACGAGCTATTTCAAACTTAAATGTGTACTTAGGATATGAAACGAAGATATTAATTCGTTGAATTCCAACCAAAAATAAAACCTCTCGGAACGTGTTTAAATTATGCTTTTTTTGTTAATTAATCCATCCCTCCCTATACGCCCCACCCACCCTCTCCCCCACCCCCAACAAAATTGTCTGCTCACTATCTGCAATGCCCCCCCCCTACTTCCCCCCGTTTGTGCAATAACACTTTTATTAAGTTTTAATTTCGGATGCTTAAAATAGATATCCATCAACATTTTAAGGCATGGGTTCAAACACAACACAAGCTCATGCTAGTCCTTTATCAAAAATAAGCTCTCCGTTACAAATAACACAACACACATTCCCGCCAGTCCTTTATTAAACATAACATTTCCGTTACACATCAAAACGTAAGAATCACCTTATCAACGACAGAGTATTTGATGTCCGACTGGGCAGCCAATGTGTCAAGTGACGTGACGGTCATCCCCATCCTGGACACGGTCAAGAAAGCCGCCAGGTTGGCGGTGAACGTCGACATCATGATGATGGCAAAGAACCAAAACCCAGTGACCAGGAACCTGCCAGAGAGGCTGTGGGGTGGGTCCCCTCCCCCTGCATACCAGATTGTAGGATGAATATTTAAGCAGAGAGAACTGCGGGGGTTAACAAAAATAATTTGACAACATAGATCTTTATGATTTTATTCGAATGTTAAAAGATGTGGTTGAATTGGAGGCATAATTGGAGTCTGGTCTTCCGTGAACAGTTATGAATATTGTCACTGTAGTGATCTCAAAATGAAGTAAAATTTCTAAGAGTACCTTGCCAATGCCATGTTCACATATATACAGATAAATTTTAACACTAACATTCTAAGACACCCAAACAACGTCTGTTAACTTTCGTTTTGGGCACGTTTCTTCTCATTCTGCTCATTCGGTATTTGATATAACCTTTTTTTTTTTTTACATACCCGCCATTGTCAAGGCACCAATCACAAACCATAGAGTGTCGACAACTGTAGGAAGTGACGTTTTTTCCTTTGCCTCGAGTTCGCCTTTCTGGTTCAACTTAGACTCATTTCCGGGATCGAATTCGCGATTACTGAATGTTTGATTGTTATAGGCCAGAACGCGACCTGGAACCTTGCATAATTCTCCAGTTTGAGAGAATGTATATTTCTCATTGGTGGGCGTAAGGTTGGAGTCTTTGGTGGGCGTGAAGTTGGATTCTTTGCTCGAGACAGTATTTAAAGAAACGCTGTCCTGTCTTACGTCTCGTTTATTCACGGTGTAACGTCCCTCTTTGGGTCCAGTGGATGTGATGTTCTCAAAAGCCCAAAGCAGCAGACTTGTCACTAGCACCACAGCACCGAGACAGAGCCACGCCTGAAACGGATTTTATAATAATCTTTACTTTTACTTACTCAATTGAGTTTTTCCCTACCAATTGCCTAGTGAAAAAATAATAGCCTATGTTTAGGAGGTTGTGTTCACACAAAAATAGTGGTGTAATTTAAATAAAGCTTTTATAGACTTCTATTTTAAATTTGCATGGCTCCATATTCTCAAAGAGATCCCCATACCGAACAGTACTAAAACAACAGCCGAGTTATCAGCTACAGATCAACTGCTGTTATTGCTATGTCGACATACATGAGGACTAAATACATTGCCGTAGTAGAACAGGTCAATCTTCGCTGTCTGCTTCTTGAGGAGAATTTGTATTCCGGCGAAATCATAATAAGGAAGTGTAAAGTCTACCACGGTGTCTCTTTCTGCAGTGACTGTCATGGCTCCAAGGATGACGTCAGCTTCCTGGGAAAATAACAATTCGTTGTTTTTTTGGTTGCTATTCTATATTACTAATGATTGGGAATTCCGTTATAAAGGCATAACGAAATCACATTGCGTGGCATTTTCATTTTAACAATTATCATTTATAAATTTCCTCATCTCTTCCAAAACTTGGACGAAAGGAAATCTTTTCATTTTGGTAAAATTTATTTTTAGATTTTCCCCGTTTTTTTTTTTTTTACCAAAGCTTAATATGGCCGCGGTGACAATAGGCTCCTCACCCCTCTCACAATGTTTCCAATGCACCCGTTCCACTCGCCACCGTCCAGCACTCCGTAGCCGCCCTCGTCGCACTCTCTGAGCGTGTAGGAAAACCCAACGCGGCTGGCGATCTCTTCAAGGACGTCTATGCTGTAGCCGTAGTAGGAACCTGGCTGGCTCTCGTTTTTAAATATGAATGGTGGCTCCTGAAACATACAACAAAATGAACCGCTTAAACCTTGTTTGGTCACATGGAGTGTTAAGACATTTGGGCAATGGACTGAAATTGTGAAAGATATGTGTCTGGGTTTCGATGAATAAGGGGCATAACCGACTATGGCTACTGGATTATTTGAGTTAATTACCTTGATTAAACGTGGCGAATAAAATTTCGCTGAAGACATCACTAGAAATATTAAGTTTTTTTTCTTTTTTTCGTTATTGATATAAAAATACAAGTTATCATCAAAATTTTGAAGAATTGTTATGAATTCCATTTTAGAGTAAATAAGGCGCTCAATATAAATTTCTAAATGATACAGTAGAATACGATTCAAATTCTTAACATACTATTTCTTTCATTTCATATGAAACAAATTCATAAAGTGTCACTATATTTATTTCATTTAAATATATTTCAACGTAATAAATAGATTGTATGTGTATGGCAAACATTTTACCAGATTAATTCATACCGACAAAAGTATTAACACAAAGTAATGTATACCATCATTCATTGCACTACCCCCCACCCCATTCCGCGCCCCCTCTCTATGGTCAAGTCTAAGCCTACTCACCACGATGACAGCCACTGTGAGTTGAGAGTCGATGAAGCTTGGAGGGTAAGCAGGCTGGTTCAACCTTAGGCCTTCGGATTGTGACCAGTTCCCAAGCTGGACAAGGACGATAATGGTATATTATAAATTCATTAAAACAAAAAGTTTAAACACAATTTTTAGTGCCAACATATTGCAAGCTTTGTTTACAGAGAACAAAGATCACTGAGAATTTGTAACTGAAGGCCGAACGTCAAGTAAAACGCGCCAAAATCTCACGAATATCCTCGGAACTAGTTAGTTTAAGCCAGCGGTTCTCAACAATCCTAATGCCGCGAACCTTTAATACAGTTCCTCAGGATGTTGTGACCCCCCCCCCCCAACCATAAAATTATTCTCGTTGCTGCTTCTTAAATATGTGTCTTCCTATTTCCCATGGTCGTAGGTGACCCTTGTGTAAGGGTCATTCGACACGCAAAGAGGTCGCGACCCACAAGTTGAGAACCGCTGGTCTAAACCTTTATTATTATTTTTTTGTTTTATTTTAATGTATGATAAGTTCTAAATTAATATTGAAATATTTCAGATTTTGAAATCCCCCATGAACACTTAAATCACAAAAATCACCAGATTTCTCAAACTGCAAAACTCACTATCAAACAGATGTATTGTTTTGAAATACAGGAACAAGGTTTGGTAAACTTGAATTCATTGACAGTACACAAGATTGACATATCGGCTAAGAGACTTCACCAAAAAACAAGACCAAAAAAAGTCAGTAGTTGCCGGAAGTAGGATAACAAAATGGAAATTTCATACGTTTTTTTTTTGTTTTTTTACTGTGATCTGATACTTATTTTTTGTTTTTAGCAATGTAGTCTAACTATACGTTAAGTGCAAGAGACGTAAAGTATCAAATGTTGTAATGGTAAATTGTTCGTTATTAATTACGTAAAAACGTGTTTACGTGATCTACTTCATGAGTAAATACGGTGTACACAACTCTCGGTATTTTTACAAAGCAGAAGGATACAACAAACAAGGCGAAGTGTTGGAAACGATTCTTTACTCTCTAACACCGTAACAGAAGGTGGGCGTGCACGCCAGCCATCCTCGCGACTTACATGGATGTTCCCTCCACTGTTGAGGCGCATCAAGTCAAACACAATGTCTCGTTTAACGACAGCCTGTTGTGACGTAAAGATACTGTTCTTTCTACTGTCTACCTGAAGTTGACAATGTGAGGAAACTCTTGTAACGTATTGTCAAATATTGTGTTCATGGCTTTATTTTATTTTGTAAAATCCTTTATATTAACTTCGCTTTTGTTTATGTCTGGCTGGCCTCGAACTGATAATTGACCCACTTTCCATCAAGCTATCGAGCTGAAACTTGGCACATTGACTCGTTGCCGATGACAACACATTGTATCAGCCTCCCCCCCCCTCTCCCAAACCCAGTCCAACACGGAAAAATCTTTCTTTTTTTTTTTTTTCGTTCTTCAAGGGAACATGAGGGAACTATGATTTCGCGAAATAAATTTCCCGATTACTGCGCCAAAGAAGATCCTTTTTTTTAAAAAAATCGCATCTTCGTTTAGTGCGTAACATCTTTTGTTTTTCTGAAATAGATGGTGAAAGAAATATGTGGTGTAACATCGGGTGGGTCATAAGACCATCGATCTCGTTCAGCGGCGCGAAAGAAAATGTCTTGTTGCGAGTTGTTTCTTTTTTTAAAAGTGGGTGGGTGGGCACGAACTGGGATTCTTATCAAGTGAGTTGCTTCTCTGCATATTTTGTGAAATACTCATTCCACCGCCCCACCCCCTTCCCTAGCTCGATATTATATTTTATAAAGGATTTATACGAAATTTTGTTGGTTTAATTTTTCTTTTAACATAGGCCCTCTGATAAAGTGAATAGATATAATTTCACTTACTTAAGACTTAGAATTACAATTGTTTGATACCAGAATGTGAAATGTAGTTGATTAACGACAGTTTCAATGCACCAATGATACAAATACTATTAATCGATACTTTAAGGATTTTCTGAAGAGTCTACGTTTCAAAAATAAATATTCACTTTTTAAGATTTAGGATTTAAAAACGGTCCATAGAAATTTCCTAATAGAAGTTTTGATAATCAACATGAATAATTTACAAACAACGAAGCGAAGACCACTATAGTTCATACTCAACAAGAGATATGTGCATTCACCGCATTTAGATCATTGTGTTCTGTTTGAAGGCCAGCAAAAAGTTTGATCGATATAAATTGAAGTAAACCAATGACCTTTGCACGAATGACATTAGTATCAATGAATTTCCGATCGTATCTCACCTCCCTCGATGCATCTTTAAACAGGTCCTGACAAGGGCTACAGTTCGTTGTACAGACCAGTGAGCAGGATCCGCTGGTGTTGTTGGTGACGTACTTGACAAATCTCTGAATGGCGTCAGTGGCAAAGCCCAGAAGTCTTTGTTGTGTCCCTGTCACCGGAAGCTATATAAAAAAAATTGGATCAAGTGTTGTCACTGGCATCTATTTAAAAACAAAATTTGGGGAGAGAGATAGAGAGAGATAGAGAAAGAGACAGAGAGAGAACGAGATAAAGAAAGAGAGAGAGGGAGAGAGAGAGAGAGAGTGTGAGAGAGTGAGAGAGAGAGAGAGAGAGATAGAGAGAGACTTACTTAAATCTAAGTCAAAGCGCAAATCACTGCCAGTATTGTCACTGACAGTTTTGTCAATGAAAGTGCTTTCAATGGCAGTGTTGTCAATGGTATCTATCTAACAACAACAGTGGCCCTAATGCTGCAATTCGTTTGGCAATGAAATATTAATTTTATTCATTTTACCCTAAGCTGATACCTTACATTCCTAGGCTAGGCTTACACCTTACATTGTTTAGCTAAGCTGACACCTTACGTTGAAAGGCTAAGCTGACACCTTACATGCTAGGCTAAACTGACACCTCACATTGCTAGACTAGGCTAACACCTTACATTGCTACGCTGAGCTGACATCTTAAATTTCTACAGTTCGCCAACCTCTTACATTGTTACGCTGAGTGTACACCTTACATAGCTAGACTGAGCTGACACGTTACGTTGCTAGGCTAAGCAGACATCTAACATTGCTAGGCTAAACTGACACCTTTCATTGCTAGTGTTGTAATAGTGTCACCGTTTTCTACAGTAATTTATGTTGATGCAATCAAATACCCAGATCCTGAATACTATGAAAGTGGTGGATTCATCTGAGCCACAATCTTAGAGAGATGATGGATTTTTTCAAATTAAATTAAGGAATAGCAGCTTCATGATTTTACAAAGAAACATTTCATTTGAGCCGAACCTGAGTGGTAGCGATAGGAGATTATTTAGACAAACGTTAGGCCACCTCACAAAGAAAGGCAACCACACACCATAGGCGGCAACTCGCATCAAGCAAAAAACAAACTAACTGCAGGCAACCACACACCATAGGCGGCAACTCGCATCAAGCAAAAAACAAACTAACTGCAGGCAACCACAAGGCAACCACACACCATAGGCGGCAACTCGCATCAAGCCAAAAAACAAACTAACTGCAGGCAACCAACCCTACAAGCACACTTGAACCACTAACACTATCGTAACGTCATGAAAACAAATCACAATGATGTAATTTACTTCTGTTACGTTCGCCCTCTCTGTGAGCAGCACGGGGTGCACCTGGTCGCAGAACCACGAGAAGTTGGCACAGTGGAATGGCTCTTGCTGGTGGTTGGTTGGGTGGAGCACCCAGCGGAATCTTGTGGGCGGCAACTCCAGCTGTGAGACCTGGCGATTCAATGTCAATACTGTGTAGGTGTGTGTGGCCATGACGTCATGGAAATGATGATGCTATACATTGGTAAACTGCACTATGCATTAAAACATTAGATGAGCACTTAGATAGCAGTGATGATTAATGTCATGAATTAAATTATAAATAAGTATAATACTAATTAGAACTTGAAGTATTTCAACTACTTTAACCAGCTATAATAGACAATAACATGGTCCCGAACTGCAGGCATTGTGGACTAGTCCCAGAACCTGTAAAAAGTCGTTCCCCAAGCTTACCCTAAGGGAGGTTAGCTGAGCAGTTCGTTCCTAAGTTTCTGAGTTGTGTCACGCAGTCCATCAGAAGGAGATCGTTTTCAGAATGGTAGCAAGGGCCATAACAATGAATTGCAAGGGCCGTAACCAGTGACAGCAATAGTCATAAAGAGTGAAAGCAAAGGCCGCAAAGAGTGGTTAAGCTCGGCTCCTCGTTGTGGGTAAGTATAAATAACCAAAAAAGTGTAACTTGTGTAACTAGATATATTTAGGTTTGAAAAAAAGTCGCGACAGCAGTCTGTTCAACTAGGTGCCCTCCATGTACATATGTACATCAGAATAAGTACTTAGCTGG